GAGCTTGCAGATGTCTTTGAAGTAAATGAAGAATGGATGATAAAAATGTAAATACTTAATGCTTGTTCTGAAAAGTGCATAAGGTTCATAAAGACTGGCTTATAGTGCGACTTGAGTAGATTTTCAATTCTTCCTTATGTTTTTTATGGTTGACAAAATAAATAATTGGTAATTGAGCACGGCATTAGATCCTCTCGATAATAGATAAACGACTTTTTGAATATTTGAGTAATCAAACATTTAAAGGCTAATCCAATCATCCAAATATGATCCTGTTAAAATATTGCATTTCTACAGTCAATAAATTCAGAAGTGCAAGCTTTTTCCGAGTTCGAAAACCTTCAAGAGTCTAACAATGAGCGGCATTAATCACACCATGCAACATTGCATAATATTGTTCTTACTTTATACTTTCTGAAGTACTCTTCTGCAATTATACTTTGATGTTGCTACAAAGACAAAGTCAACAAGTTAATGAGAGGCAAATAAAACACAAAAGAGCATTGTGCCTTTCTGCTTGCTAATTTATTTATGTTTGTGAATTCAAATTCATTTCTTCAATTTTGCATCATTTTTATGCTTTCATTTTTTATCATTTCCGTTACTGCCACAACGATTTTCTTTCTCTCTTGTTATTCGGATGTTGTGCTTATTGTAAATGCGATCTGCTTATGAATAAATTACAACGTGAACTTCACAGATAAATTTTATTTTTTTGTGAGGAAATTCTGGCAGTTTTAATGCTCACGATTTTTTGGGGGAGCTTTTTTATGTCTGATTTGTAAAGCTATTTGATTACTTATTCACAATCTCGGTCTATTGAAATGTTTTCAAGAGAATTATGGATATATGGTGAAATTTGGCATTGAATCACATCGATAATTTTATGACTCATTCATTTTTATAGTCCATGTAGCTAATAAAAATATATTGAAAATTGGTCATGATTTCCGGCAGAGATTGATTTTTAGAACTGATTATTATGAAATTAGCCCACGTAGGGCGTTGTAAGAGTGCCTTAAAAATGATAATTTTTTTGTGTTTTACGTCTGTTTTCTATAAGCTACTTATCATAAAATATGAAGCTTGATTTTCCCAAGATATCAATTCACAAGCATTAGTACACAAGACAAGAAGAGTATGTAGAAATAATAACGTTACATAAGAAGGAAATAATGCCAGTAGCTCAACCTTTAATTAAATTTTAGTATCATAATCATTGGTGTGACACACACACACACACACACATCAGCGTCACCCTTATTGAACCAAGATCTAATGAATAAATTATAGACATAAATTTACATCGAATGATAATGCATATCATCAATAGATATTCATGTTACGTATAAAGTATCAATTTAACATATAATTTTCGCATAGATATCAACGTAATTACAATTTATTGGTGCAAGCAGCCTTAAGGTATGCAATGCAAAATAACATAATGTGGCGTGTGAACTTTAGAAGTTGATACTTTCATTGTTGTAATTAATATTATTATCACCAACAATGTTTTATGCTATTGGGCTGACCATAAAGGTGACATGTGGGAAATTCAGCAGAAATTTCAATTGATTGTGGATGGTGACTTAATTTAAAATCAGCTATTTATATAAACTTCGAAATCTTATCAATGGATCATTCGTTATTATAATTAATGTCACATATCAGCATGCATGACCTGAAACTAAATTTCTCATGCAATCAAGTAATCATCTCCATCCAGCTCTCCGCACAAAGCAGCAGTATATGAAAGTGTCAATTATTATCAAAGTTACTCTCCGTCTCTGTAATCAGAAAAGAAATTAAAGGAAGAAATTAATACGGAAATTGAGGTAAATTCAATTTCCATAGATTTATGTCAAATTATCAGTTACTTGTCAGTTGCGTAATCCCTTCCTTTCGAAATGACAAAGTAAATTTTTTTTTTCTCGAATCTATATCATTTCATGTCAGGACTGATAAACGTTCAGTTCAATTATTTACAGTTGAATTGAAGTATTTGGCAGTTCTCTGTAATTGATTAAATTCAGGAAATTTAAGAAATTTTTTGTAAAGCTTTAATTTTATTTCTATCCAAAAATCAATACTGCTTATCTCTCATTTTCAGAAAAAGCATCTTCTGTCCATCCATAAAAACCACAACAATGTATTTCCATTTTACACCTCAATCAAATAACCAAGATACCTCCATCAAACAATGTTCAATGCTTATCGGTATTCTGAAATAAAATCTTAATTTATTTTTAGACATTCTGAACTCACTCCACAAAGGGACTTTAATTGAATGTGACACATTTTACGCATTTTTCTTGAATGCTGGAAGAATGGAGGAGGAACTGACATTTACAAATTTTTGTGAATCAAATTACCTTTAGATTTATTTTATCATTATTTAGCAGTAGCTTTTACCTGAGAGAAGTAAGGGAGGAGTTCAAGAAGATCTGAACTCGTGCCTCGAGATTAAAATTTGCATTTGAAAAACTCAGACCCCACCATTTTTCAATGTGGTTTTAACCCCCCCGCTCGAATAATTTTTACACATTTGAGCTGAGATGCTTGAAAAACGGAGTTTGTAGTCCATGATAAATCATAGCTTTGTTAATTTTAGGATTTATCCTTAGAAAGCTAAATCTAAACTTTGATAAAAAAACCAAAAAAAATCGTCATCAAAAGCTCAACGCCAATAAATCAACAAAATTTTCCCACAAGCTCTCAATCTAAGATTGAATTTCATGAAACTCACTTTCATTGTTGCATGAAAATCACTTTCATTGAAGTATTTATTCATTCATTCCCTACCGTTCATTCACTCGTTGGAACTGAGCGAAGAAAATGAGCCGAAGAGAAAAGAAGAAAAAAATTTTTTTTTGTCTCTTCCTTTAAAATTAAAACTCAATTTGCATTAAATTATTGATTTTTTCATTCTGTTTACTTTGTTTCATGATTCTGTATATTAGCAAGTCACGGTGCGTATTCGCATGTATCTACAATGATGATGAAAATGTGACAATCTGCAAATATTTGAATAAAACATGGAATTTTTGAAGTAATTTAGTTAAGCAAATGATATGTTCAATGAGGTTTGTATGGAAGGTATGTAAATTTACATAAAATATTTTAATGCTGTGCTCTTTTTTGCGGTTGTAATCTGCATGACATTATGTCTATGTATTTAATTGTTCGTTAATCTTGTTTCTTCTTTGATATCTCATTAACATTACATTACAGCATGACCACTCCAAACCTGTCTATTTTTATCTCCCTCATCTAACATAGGTTCCAAAAAAGTACGAAGAAGCTCACGAAAGATAGAACAAATTTTTTTTTCTCTACTGTCATTACCATATTTTTATTCACAAATTAGCAATGCCATTAAAATTATCTTCAAAGGGAAGAGGAAGACACTTTAGGTATATATAATTTTTTTGTGGGGTCATAAATCGTAAATGTGAAGCACATCTAAAAATGAAATGAGTCGAGAGAGGATGTTTAATGTCGTGTGCAGATTTTGATCGATTTTTCTTTTTTTTTTTCATGCTTTACATTTCCACTTGTATGTGTCCAGTCCATTAATAATCATCAATTTTCAGTTTATTTACTTTTGAAGATACAACACAAGAACATTAATGGAGCTAATGGAAACATTTGATGCTGTTGTTGGTTAAATGTAGGCGAGTTGAATGTAACTAAATTGGAATGTGAACGCAAGCAAGACAAGCAAATAAGGTACAATTTGTGAGAGCCATAGAATCATAAAATCAAATTTATGGCACAATTAAGGCACTGCCATATATCCATCTTCTATCCTTTTCTAGTTTATATTGAACTTTTATTAAGAATTTCAGTCATTTGATTTGGAATGACTGCATTGAATATAAAGAATTAAATACAAATACTATAGTCCGTGTCATCGCTAGAAGCGTCTCCCCTTTTCTCAAAAAAATTGCGGCTACACTCCTAAAAACTATTTAAAGCTAATCTCAATTTTAAAATGCGCCTAAATCACAAAAATCCAAAAGCATTCTCAACATTTTTAATGTGACGTGGGTAGAAAATAAATAAAAGCAACTGACTCTCTTTCTCCTTCAGATTGATGACTACGTAACGATATAATTTCGTATTGTATGTTAAAGTATATCACGTAAATTAAGTTGCATTTCATTCTTTGACTTACGACTGTAATCACGGCATGGCATGTATAGGCAAGCCACACGTGGTAGCAACATCAAAAAGGTAGTCACATTGAAAATAGTTTCATTAATCAATTGATACACTTCCATCAATATGGAGGTTCGTAATTAATGTTCGGTGATGGCTTTTTAATTAAACAAATGAACATCGGTGCTACATGTAAAATTAAATTGTTGAATTTTCTTTCATATCCTAAAAATGAGACACACGTGGATAACAAGTCATAAACTATAATGTAGGTAATGATTCACTGCCTGTCAAAAAATAATGGAAGGTGGAGTAACTAATTTGCTGACTTTGTTCATCATCAAACTTTTCCTCGTTGCCAATTATTCGCACTTATTATGTTATGAAGATGCGCAATTTAAGTGTTCATAGCGGAGGTAATAATGTGTCTAACAACAGTTTCATATATTAATGTGTAAATCGTGTGCTTGCATAAAATTTCCATCTAAATTTACATCGATGGTATAAATCGCTACTCCCGTACTGTGCACCATTGACCACACGCACGCGTAAAATATCTCAAAATTGTGTTAAAAATGATGAATGATGTGCAATTAGAACATGACTTGAAACTAGAAAATTATAAAAATTGCTAATTTTTTATAGCTGAATATAAAAAATTGTAGGATAATTAATTTAAAAATTTGTAGCTGCATAAAAGCTATGATCCATTGAAAAAGTTTGCCTGTTAAAGAAAATAAAGCCAAGGTAGGAATAAATATGCAATTATGCAAATCAACCTATTCACGTACTGAAATGAGAAGAAAAATTGAATGCACAAATAAAAACTTCACAGATTCAATGGCAATAAAAAATATTTTTATAGCTTTATTTCCTAAATTTTCGTTGTTGTCTGCTTTAACATTCAAATAAATTTTTGGAGCATTGTATACAGATTAAGTGATGGATTATGCAGCCACACGATTAATAGTAACCATTGCCATATCCGGAGCTTCCATAAGTACTTCCATATCCGTTGCTGCCATATGTGGATCCATAGCCTGTTCCATAACCATTTCCATATGTGCTTCCGTAGCCTGTTCCACTGCCATATGTACTTCCATACCCTGTTCCATGTCCACTGCCATATCCAGTACTGCCATAACCGGTACTGCCATAAGAACCTTTAAAACAAAAAGGAAGCATTACATAATATTTATAAAGGAACGAAAACAGGAAAAAAGTGTCGCGACTTTTCCACAATGACTCTATCTTTTCCTTTTATCCTCAATTGTCAGCATTTTAAAGCTAAAAAGCATTCCGACCTTTTTATTCCATTAACAAAATATTCACTTACTTCCGTATGGATAAACTGTTCCAATTCCACCGTATGGGTTTGTGCTCACAGGCGTATTATATTGCCTTAAATACGAGTACGATGTTGGATAGCCACCACGATAGCCATATGGATAATTTCCATAAGGTGAGTTATAGCCCTGATAACTTCCTTGATATCCGCCAGCAAAGTTTTGTGAGCCAATGCCGTAATTCACACCATCGTAACCTAATATTTAAAATAAAATATATGTACCATGAGAAGTCATTGTCAGTAAATTATTTTTAATTAGCTTTCTGTGGTTTCTATGGAATTATCGCATTAATATCAATTACTATGGCTCTCAGTTGTTCTTACTGGTTCTTACTTAAAAAGGGGGTTGCATATCTTTGGGAGTGATTATGAAAATATTTTCGGTATTTATTAAGAAAGCTCTTGGGTGAATATTTTCTCATGTAAATCGAGTCCAATGAACTTAGTGAGTAATTCTGAAGATTTCAGATACACAAGAGTAGATTATGAAAATTGTTCTACAAAATAGCCACAACTCACCATAATTCCACCCCATTTAACACATGGAGGGATCGAGTAATAGAAGAAGAGACAATTTACTTACCATATTCTGTCATTGGAGCATATCCCCCAGAGTAACCACGTTGTAATCCTCTCGAATAACTTGGATGGCCCGAATAGCTGTAACCGTCCAGTCCTGAACCCAAATTTAGTGAAATGCCGCGTTTTTCTTTTCCACTCTCTTCAGCAGTTGTTACACTCGAATTCTCGTCGACACTGGTCTCTTGACAACGGATGACAGTTGCAAACAATGCTATAAGAAGAACCTTTTTTTTTGTGTAAATAGCGTTCCAGTGGCAGTAAATGAGAATTGAAAAACAAAAAAAAATAAAGTCATAAAATTAAAATTTATATCATTTTCATGGTTGTAAACATTTTCTTTTCGCTGTTGTTGTTCCTTTTTTATTGTTATGATTGTAAAGCAAACGACATCGCACGATATTGCGTGAATGTGCTTATTTATATCGAATGAATATGTTAAAAACCATAATATTGGTTTTAATTATCGCGACATGGAACTTTTTGCACTGTAAAATGTAAATTTTGTTCTGGTACACGCGAAAGCATAAGGCCTCACTTCCATTCTCATTACAATAAGCTTAAATCTTGCTTGTGTTGTGTTTCAATTCAAATTTTTTTAATGCTTCACTGTCCTTTAATTTAATTGTGTTTTATGCATAAAGCATTACCCGAATGGCACAAGTCGGTTAATCGATCAGAAATCTGGCACTTAGCTAGCGTGACTCTGGCATGGTGCTGGATTTAAATCGAAGCCAGCACCATCCCAGTGTCATGCCAGCTTGGGTCCGGATTTCTATTCAATTAATCGACTTGTGCTATTCGGGTTAATTATTCATGGAAGTTCTTGCACTTTAAAATATATTTTTTATGGATGTGGATGTTAAAGCAAGATAAGGATGAAAATTAGTACAGAAATTTGTATGCATATTTTATCCGGGATACAGCAAGAGGTAAACTTTATAAGGATTTGCGATGCTGTTGAATAATATTAAAAAAAATATTGAAATACAGCCAGAAGTGCAAGTTTATAGCCTCCTAACCAGAACAACAAAATCTTTATCTTCTTTCTACAGGAAATTAAAATTATTTCACATATTTTATAAGCGTGGCAATAAGTTGATAAAAACTCAAGTAAATAAAACAAAAGTTCCATGAAAATTAAAGCAACGGAATTTAAATAAGACAGAAAGGAGCAGCACAATAAAGATTTGATAATGAAAAAAGTTAAGAAAATGCTGTGCACGTGAAATAATAAATTTGCATAATATTATTAAGTTAAGAGTTGCTTCTGCTGTCATTACTAAACATAATACTCATTAAATCGAGGTAGGAAGGTGAGCGTATACAAAAAAATATGAGGTAAGAAGCTGTAAAAAAATTTTATTTTGCGTCTTTAATCATTTGCAGTCAGTATCTCATTTTAATTAACTTTTTCCAGGACTTTTTTACTATCACACGCTGTGCTTAACAGTGGATCAAATGAGGGAGAAAAGTATTTAAAGCGATAATTAAGAGGAGTGATAAGAAGCTTATTGGATGAAAAGTGAGGCATAAATCATCATTGAGGTGACATTATGAATTTTAAATCTTTTAAGCCATTTCATTTAATTAAACATTTTAATTCTCACAATTTTATTGATTTTTTTCATTGGCACTGAGCTTGAATTTAAATTCTATGCATCATAAAACCTAAAATAATCCTCTTATGTATCAAATAAGCCTCAGATAACATAACAAAAAACTAATCACATTAGCATGCATATTATGCTTTATTATAAGCATTAAAATTTATGGTACGGTTTATAGATTGTTTTGCACATGCATTGATAAATCATGTAAAATGAGCTTTTTTGCTTTATTCAAAGTCATCACGTCACATCGATGTTTTTACATTATGCATGTACGTGAAGCCCTTTGGACGATTTTTGTAGGATGTATGTTGATTCAAGAAAAGCTAAGTCAAACTGGTTGATTATATATGAACCAAGCACTCAGACAAAGATAAAACTTAATAGCTCACTATTTTGTACAATCATTAATTCATAGAATAAATCCAAAATTTCCTTAAGGATGACTTACGCGTCACAATGTATTTATGTATTCGCACAGGAAACAATGAGTAGTAGCGACATGAAAGCACAAAATCATATCAAACTAATTTCATCATCAACAGTAACCAACATTGAAAAGTGCCTCTTTTTCAACTAAATAGGAAGCCCTCGAAACATTTTCCACGAGAAAAAGCCACAATCTAATAATTAAATGTAAATGCGATAACACGACAGAATCACGTTTTGTTGATTTTTAAGCTCATAATCTAATTTAACATGGAATGAGAGCACGAGAATGCTTAAAATATATGCTTAGCACTTCATGTCGCACATTGTTGTAAAAAAGCCCATGCTTTTTTTTTGCTGGCTGGTTGGTACATGCACAAATCTACAGACATATATAACACGTGAAAAGGCGTGACAAGGGCGAACAAAAAATTGAGAAAAACTTTTTTTTTTGAAATTCACACGAAAAATGGAAAAAAACAATGTTAAATGCACCGTGTAATTAATTTACATAAGAGCCACTAAATGGATTTTGTCAGCATTATCAATTAATTCTGTGAAAATTGATATCGAGAATTGTGGATATTCTCAATTGAATTTTAATCGGAATTAATGTTTTTATGCATTGATATCCGAGCGACATCGATGAGTTTTAATAGGAACCACTTGGTGAAGCCTTCGAGTAGCTTTCTGATGTAGCTCGGAATTTTTATCGATTGATTCCACTTCTATCACAAATTGTTGACTGTTCCCAACAAAATTCTCACAAAGGACTCAACTTTATGATAACACTTCTTAAAAAACTTTCACTCTTCGTGACAGTTAATGTGCTTTTAATGAAATAAGCTTTTTAATGTAATTTTTAAGCTTTTTTTTCTCACCGAAAATTTCTTCATTTTTGTTCTATTTAACTTTTCTGATGTGATAAAAAAAAATTTGGCACTTGAAAAAAATAAACTTTTTTTTGTGGATGTTCTGTTGGAGAAAAATAAAAATTCTTATTTAAACAAACTTGTTAAAGCACCAATCTGATACTGAATTAAAATCTTTAAAATATTCTTTTTATATAGGTTTTTTTAAGCGAAAAACAAAAATTTGCGTTTTTCATCTAACACACAACCGATGATGCCGTTTATTCATCACATCGATGCTGTAGTTATTAGTGTAAGCAGCCATGTTGCTAGTGTTGCTGTTGTGTGTAATAATAATTTTTAATGTAAACAATGAACCATCACTGAAAAATATTATAATGAAATTTTCTTATATTCAAGTATGAAGTGTCGATTTTTTTCGGTTCGTTCTTAAAAGCGTGAAAATGTTGTGTCTACATTTTGTCTGAATGATTCTTATAGGTTGGGATTTTAATTGATTAAGAGCTGTGGAGGTTTGGTTCATTTGAATTTTTAAGATCTATGCAAAGTGCTGTTGATTTTGGAACATAAGAAGATATCATTGGGAATTCAAGGAACTGCAAGCATTAAAGTGTTACAGTCAAGTCATATAAATCAGTCACCAATGCATAGAGCCCCAAGAACCCCTTTTTGCTATTAACCCAATCTCAATCTCATTGCGTTCTATCCACAAAAATAAATTGGCAAGCACCACAACTCATTCATTAGATTCAGAACTGACCGCACACACATTAGAGTTGCTACAAAGTAAGATTGAATGATGAAAATTTAAGTAAATAAATATGAATCTAGAAACAAAAGAACGATAGAATGAATTAAATGAAAATTTATTAAGTCACAACCACAAATCATTGTCTATAGGTCGATGTTAAGTCAAGCGAAAGATTCAATGAGTAATCTCATAAAAAAGCAAATAAGAAGAAGTGATCAAGCACGAGGAAGGTATTATTTGATTTTGGGGGTGTGCGAGTATTGTTGCTTAATAAATTGCTTTTGAATTGCAAGTAAATATTGCTGTGGCTAGCAGATGATGTTAATCGAAGCATAATGAAGAAGTTATTAAGAATAATTGAATGAAAATATTGTCGGAAGTAAATTCATTATGATTGGGAAAAAAAATTTATGACATGGTTAATGGACGGGCCATTTTATGAGGTACGACGATGTTTGAATGTGAAATTGAGGATAAATATTGTTATTGGTTTTATTTCATGGACTGTTAATTTATGGATGTTCCTGAAAATTATCTGCACATGCTGCATAATTAAACAGTTCAGAATATTATCAGTTTACTCTCATATTGACAAATAAGTAGCACCCAAAAATGATAAAATAATTTACATTCGTAATTAAGCACTCTTTAAACAATTCACATCCAATAAATCAGCCTGATGTTTTACCTTGCGGTTTTTCACTTAAATGCCACCCAATCGAGCAATTTATTTACCCATAAATAATTAAAAGTTTTATAATTGAGAAGATAAAATTCAAAAATCAATAAATAGATGCTGTTGCATAGCATCACATGCACAGGTGCATTAATCATGTCTTTATTATGAAATTTAATTTCAATTATACTCTTTAATTAATTATGCCAGTTATGATGTTTATGCTGCATTCATAATTATGTGGTTGAGTAAATATTTAGTACTGAAATATAATCAGCTAAATTAGTTTTTAATTGTGGCTTCTTGGTAATGTATGGAATCGGAGCAGAGTTGAATTTTAGGTAAGGAGATAGTTTAAGATAAATTTGAAAAGGATCTCCAACTTATAGAATTATCGAATTAGTTCTGCTTGTTCAAAATTAATCAAAATGTATATCAGCTCCAGAATAAGAAGGAGTAGTTCTCAGACTCACAAATTGTGCTGTTTGGGCAAGTGATTTAAAACTGTGTTTGCAAAAATAAAATCTTTAATCTGTTCCGGATATCAAACTTGAGAACACTTGTCAAAACTTTATTGAAACTTATTTTTTTAATTCTGCAGCATATGTCTAACAAGTCATCCTATATTTTAAAAACTTTTTTTTAAGCTTACAATGTCTTTTCATGACATATAAAAACATCAAATGCTTCCCTATTCAATAAAGGAAATGAGAAATTTTTTGTGCATCAAATGCTTAAGAAAGAATTTTTTCATTAAAAAACTTGAGGCCTTGATGGAAGCTTTTAAAAGAAACAAACATTCCAAAGAAAGATGTGAAGAGAAAAGCTTAGAATTGGTCGATAGCTTGTCAAATACTTTTGATATACTTTGGGTCACTTTACGACAAAATAGTGCCAAAAGATGAGAAATGAAAATTTTCTCACATGAATAATTTTGAAGAATTTTGTGTCATAAAAGGACCATTGAGAGTCTTAAAAGTATGTAGTTGTAAAAAAGTTCTCAAACATAACTTTTCACCTCACAAATCGGCAATATGACAGCAGCATAAGGATGAGGAGAAGAAAAATATTTTCTCGACACTGGAAAATTTGCATGAATTAAATGGAACTTTTATTCTTCAACATTCATTTCTCATAGTCTGGATGGAACAAGACTGATAGTAACTGTGTTCTTAAGAAGTCAGCGCATTCTTCTTTAAATACTTAATTACAGAATTATTTTCATCAAGTTTTCAGTTTTAAAATTTTATAAATACCAAAACAGGAAAACAGGTCACGGGTCGATCACTTATGTCCGAAATTAACGGTCATTTTTCAAAAAAGAACAACGAATTTCCAAAAATTTATATTGTTCTGTTCTTGCTGAACCCCCCCCCCCCCCCCTCAGCCCTAGACGTCATAAGTGAACGGCCCCTTATCATTTTTGCAGAGGGACTCCAAAGGCACCTTAAGCTTATGAGAAAAGTCAATGGACAGTCTATAGGCAAAGTCTCTTATCGCATTCAACCAAACTCATCAAAAAAGAGGAGAAGAAGGAAAACTTTTTTCACTGTCATCAACAACACTCGTCGATAAAAAAAATGAAAACTTTATTTTATTCCGTAAAGACTCACAAACTAAAAACTTTACCATTCCTCATCTGTGCTTGAATGGCATTCTGTTGTATGTTGACGATGTAAATTACTTGCTGGTGTTTTCGTACAACAACAAGAAAAGAAAATTTTCAGCAAATTTTTGCATACTTAATGCACATTGTCATATACAAATGTGCATCCCTGTGTGAAACATGAGAAACTTCCGACAGAATCATGATTCGCCATAAACTATTGCTTGCTGCATTGCATAATATGGTAAATAAAGAAACTTTAACGTTATCATTCAAAAATGCATTGCCTTCAATACTCTATCAACATATAATCATTGTATAGAAGCACAAGCACATTATAACATATCCGATGTGGAAGTGTTTTGAACACACGACTCTGTTTAAGTATATGATACTAATTTATGCGATTGCTTACTTTTAACTCTTTCTTCTTGTTATATTGTGAGTGTCTGCAAGAAGACAGTTTTAACAATTATTACTTCTACTTGATGCCATGGCTGTTTTTGATCATTTCGTGATTATTTTTTTTAATGCTTGTGTTCCAGTTTTACTTAATGGCTGTCATCCTTAAATGACCCTTTCCGTGGAATAAAAATCTATTTTTTGTGTTGACATGTCTCATGTCACCATGAGTCACCACTCAGACATGCTGAACTACCTTAAAAAATAAAATAGTCATAAGTAGCCGTTTACTTAGGGGCTGTTCACTTATTACGTAACGCGAAAAAATGACTTCTTAGACCCCCCCCCCCCTCGTAACAAAATTTGTATGAAAAAAAAATTTCCTTGTTTGAACCGTAACAAAATCTTAGACCCCCCCTCCCCCTAAAAGCGTTACGTAATAAGTGAATGGCCCCTTATGACGTTCAACATTTAGGGGAGGAGGGGGGTCTAGGATTTTGTGACTGTTCAAACAATGGAAATTTTTTTCTATAGAATTTTTGTGACAGAGGTGGGGAGGGGGGTCAAAAAATCAGATTTTTTGATGGACGTCATAAGTGAACGAACCCTAAACAACAGCATTATTCATCCACAATAGCTGTAAATTTCATCCAATAACTCTTTCTCACAACTTTATTACAAATATTTGCTACCACATTAATAATGATGAATCGCAATCTTAATGCTAGTGCTATTTTCCATAACTTTATTGATGCTGTCTTAACAGTATGTTTTGATGATGTTGATAATAAAAATCAGAACAAATTTCTGCTATCATGTAAATTCATCATTCATAGCAACGTCTTCAGCGATTACATAAAACATCATTAACAGTAATTTTATTTTTTTGTCTAGATTCTTTTCAATTTTTTTTTCATTTATCTTCATTTAATGAGAAATGTTGCATGCGACAAGTAAAAGTGTCATAGTGAATTATCGTTCATCTGAGTGCTGTTTAGATTTAAAGTGTTGCATATATCAAATTGATGGACATGTTTTGTTGAAAATGGTGCTTTTCATAGTTAAAGACTCTAATGACTTTAAATCTTTTCCTTTTGACTAGGTTGTATGAGTTCAGTTTTGATAAAATTCTCTTCATAGAGAAATTGAAAGTCTGACAAAGAATCATAAATTTCATCAACTCACATTTACCGACTTAATGAAGAAAAATTGCTGTCAAATTGAAATTCTTGAAGCACAAAAAGAAGCTTTTAAATGAACTTGAAATTGCATTTTTCGTAAAAATACGAGAGTTAGCAACAAGAGACATATTTTCATGCTCTATATCAAGCATTCATATAAATAATGTGTGAAGAGCCCAGCCTTTCAGCTGGAGGCACTGAGATTCAAATTAGAACAGAATCTGTTGTACCACACCCTTTAGACCTACAGTTTATAGTGGGATCCGAACCACTTGCAAGCTCTGCACATTGCAAAGACACGCGTACGTCATAAGACCTGATGTACCCTGCAATGTACCTAGTCACAATTTGGGTGCGCAAGATGCTATAATAAAATCATCCAGATGCTTGCATATCCTTGTATACCTAGCAAAGGATGCAGATTCTGTACCAAAGACCTCAAAACTTAAAAAAAAAGGTTCAGAGTCTTTATAAAGTTTATTGTACTCTTGGTAAAGATAAATTAACATCAACACAATAATTCTCATTCATTA